TATGCGTCCTGACTTTTGGCCCACCCTATATACAAAGATCCCCCGTGTAGCCTTAACAGACTGTAGGGGCAAGTGCTGTTAGCGAGCACCTATGAAGGCTGGAACGGTACACGAGGGGGTGGGTGGCCAGCACCACGCCCGTCCGCCTTTGTCTCCCTAGTGGCGATGTTTACACACTGCACCAGGTACTCATTTCAGGCTGAGTCGACCTAGGGGAGGCCCGGGACCGGTTCAGATAATCGTCACTGGTATTTGCCGTGAGCGGGAATTGAACCCGGGTCGCCAGGTTCGTAGTGCAGCGCGCTAACCGCTACACCACCGCTCCCCACACACACACACCTACGGTTTCACGTAAAAAAATTAAAAATATATTTAAACAATTTTAAATGACAATGAGATCCGCGCTTTGCGAAGCTAATTGCAGTATTGTATTCGAAAGAATAAAATGACAAGGGCATTCATTTCTTTGCGATAATGTAATCGTGTGTTGCTTGAAAGAAAAACAAATAAGCTTTAGAGAGCTGCAATAAAATAACGTTTCAAAAGTTTACTTTTGGCGTGCGTCGTGAGGTCAACGCATTGCCGAGTTGATGCGCGTTCGCTTGATCTCAATGTAGAGACTCAGAGTTACATCGAGACTCGTAGGGTGACGTAGAGATTCATCGAGTGACAGAGACTTTATTGAGTTACATAGAGACCCAGTGACTCATAGTTACATAGAGAATCGGAGTTACAGAGACCAGAGTGACAAAGCGACTCGTAAAGTGACAGAGTCATCGAGTTACATAGAGACTCAGAGTTAGAGACTCGTAGGGTGACGTAGAGATTCATCGAGTGACAGAGACTTTATTGAGTTACATAGAGAACCAGTGACTCATAGTTACATAGAGACTCGGAGTTACAGAGACCATAGTGACTAAGAGACTCGTAAAGTGACAGAGAGACTCGTCGATTCTAGATTTGAAGCTTTCGTGACTGCAAGAATTCATACTCTTAGGTTTTTTTTCGGTCAAGTCATGCAGGTAAAAAATAAGGAATAATAATAAATAAATATTAAGAATTATAGAAAAAAATCTTTTTCTTTAAATCCTTTATATTAAGTTCGCTTGCTTGCGTGCTTGCTTACGACCGTGCACATCTTTCGGTCGTTTTTTAACCCACTTCCCGTGATCCAATCGAGCTGACATTTTCCACACAGACTCGTTGTGCCAGACAAATCAAGTGATAGTGATACAGCTATCGTGCTGTGACGGTTCCACCTGAAGATGGAAGCTTGTGTTGCCTCCGAAACGTGATTTTATTATATTTTACTTTTATTAATGAAATTTTTTTACCTACGTGACTTTACCGAAAAAACCTAAGAACATGTTTAATTTTTTTAATGGAAATGTTTTTTTTGGGGGGGAGGGGAGGGTCAGAGCTTTGTGACGTCATATTTGAGGGGGGGGGGGTCTGACTCTATGTGACGAGGGGGGGGGGGTCAAAAATCCTTCAAAATCGCGTGACGTCATTTATGGACGGTCCCCAACCCTCGCTGCGTCCAGAGTGGCCGCAGTTTCATTCCAAAGGCCTCCGAATGAGCACGGTCGCCTACGTACGGTGCGAAAGAAGTTGTACGCACACAGAGGCCTCGGCCAATGGCGCTCGGGTGACTGTGCCCTTCACTTGGCAACGGATCAAAATGCCCCGTTGCAAAATTAACTCCAGGCCGGTGAAATCTGACGCTCAATTAGCTCGGGTTCGTCTCGTAATATATGTAGTTAGACAATATGGTGATTGATGACAACGTTAGCGGCCGTGGCGTAATGGTTAGCACAAAGCTGTCAAACTAAACTCGTAAGAAGAATTGTTTTTTATCTTCTTGTTTCTTTCGGTAAAGTCACGTAGAAGGGAAGTAATAAAATAATAAAAATAAAACATAATAAAATAATTATTATATTATATTATTATGTTATTTTATGTTTTATTTTTATTATTTTATTACTTCCCTTATATTATGATATTATTTTATGTTTTATTTGTATTATTTTATTATTTCCCTTCTACGTGACTTTACCGAAAGAACCAAGAAGATGAATCCCTGCAGTCACGAAAGCTTTAAATCGAAATTTTATAATGTTTATTTTTATTATTTTATTATTTCCCTTCTACGTGACTTTACCGAAAGAACCAGGAAGATGAATCCCTGCAGTCACGAAGCTTTAAATCGATATTGTTTTTTATTTTACCAGGTCAGACCCATTGAGGTAGACTGTATAGTTAGTTTTCAGTAGCGACCTGGCCACAAATGATCAACCCAACGAAGTGGGTTGATCATCAAGTTCAAGTTCTCTTGAATCGGGTGCAACCGCAACAAACAAAAAACAAAAACATGAACAAAAAACATCTTAAAGTGAATATGTGACTGAGTGCAAACAGAAAATCCAAGAAAAGACAGCAAAAATATTGCAGAAAAAACACCGTACACCAACGCTGTGTGCAAAAATCCCAGTGGGATGCAAGTCAAACAACAACAACAACCACAAGACAACTTAGATTAAGGCCATCAGTCTAACCCTGTACTACAACAAACAAACATGGCTAAACCAATACACTTTTCGAAATCACCAAAATAAAGCCATGAAAGCAATGAAAAAGCAATCATAGGAACTGTGACGGAATTTTCACAATAACGCCGTGATGTTGATTATAAATGTGGAGGGGAAAACCGGAGGACCCGGATAAACAATCCACGCGACCACGGGGAGAGAGAGAGACGCACTTCATTTACAGGGTCGGGATCGACCCCACGACCTCCTGTACACCAGGCGAGGTAGTCAACATCTCCTAGCCACCGTGATGATGATGAGAGAGAGACACGCAAACTCAAAATATACAGCAGCAGGCGTCAGGGTCAGGATCGAACCCACGAACTCCTGCATACCAGGCAAGGTAGTCAACATCTCCGAGCCACCGTGATGATGATGAGAGAGAGACACGCAAACTCAAAATATACAGCAGCAGGCGTCAGGGTTGGGATAGAACTCACGACCTCCTGTACACCAGGCGAGGTAGTCAACATCTCATAGCCACCGTGATGAGAGAGAGAGAAACACGCAAACTCCAAATATACAGCAGCAGGCGTCAGGGTCGGGATCGAACCCACGACCTCCTGTACACCAGGCGAGGTAGTTAACATCTCCTAGCCACCGTGCTAATGATGAGAGAGAGACACGCAAACTCCAAATATACAGCAGCAGGCATCTTCAGGGTCGGGATCGACCCCACGACCTCCTGTGCACCAGGCGAGGTAGTCAACATCTCATAGCCACCGTGATGCTGATGAGAGAGAGACACACAAACTCCAAATATACAGCAGCAGGCGTCAGGGTCTGGATCGAACCCACGACCTCCTGTACACCAGGCGAGGTAGTTAACATCTCCTAGCCACCGTGATGATGAGAGAGACACACAAATTCCAAATATACAGCAACAGGCGTCAGGATCGGGATCGAACCCACGACCTCCTGTATACCAGGCGAGGTAGTCAACATCTCCTAGCCACCGTGATGATGATGATGAGAGAGACACGCAAACTCCAAATATACAGCAACAGGCGTCTTCAGGGTCGGGATCGACCCCACGACCTCCTGTGCACCAGGCGAGGTAGTCAACATCTCCTAGCCACCGTGATGATGATGAGAGAGAGACACGCAAACTCCAAATAAACAGCAAGCGTCAGGGTCAGGATCGAACCCACGACCTCCTGTACACCAGGCGAGGTAGTTAATATCTCATAGCCACCGTGATGATGATGATGAGAGAGAGACACACAAACTCCAAATATACAGCAGCAGGCGTCATCATGGTCTGAATCAAACCCACGACCTCCTGTGTACCAGGCGAGGTAGTTAACATCTCCTGGCCACCGTGATGATGATGATGAGAGACAGAGAAACACGCAAACTCCAAATATACAGCAGCAGGCGTCATCAGGGTCTGAATCAAACCCACGACCTCATGTATACCAGGCGAGGTCATCAACATCTCCCAGCCACCGTGATGATGATGATGATGAGAGAGACACACAAACTCCAAATATACAGCAGCAGGCGTCATTAGGGTCTGAATCAAACCCACGACCTCCTGTGTACCCGGCGAGGTCGTCAACATCTCCTAGCCACCGTGATGATGATGATGATGAGAGAGAGAGACACGCAAACACCAAATATACAGCAGCAGGCGTCAGGGTCTGGATCAAACCCACGACCTCCTGCACACCAGGCGAGGTAGTTAACATCTCCTAGCCACCATGATGATGATGAGAGAGAGAGACACGCAAACTCCAAATACACAGCAGCAGGCGTCTTCAGGGTCTGGATCAAACCCACGACCTCCTGTGTACCAGGCGAGGTCGTCAACATCTCCCAGCCACCGTGATGATGATGAGAGAGACACAAACTCCAAATATACAGCAGCAGGTGTCATCAGGGTCTGAATCAAACCCACGACCTCCTGTATACCAGGCGAGGTAGTCAACATCTCATAGCCACCATGATGATGATGAGAGAGACACAAACTCCAAATATACAGCAGCAGGCGTCATCAGGGTCTGAATCAAACCCACGACCTCCTGTATACCAGGCGAGGTAGTCAACATCTCATAGCCACCATGATGATGATGAGAGAGACACAAACTCCAAATATACAGCAGCAGGCGTCATCAGGGTCTGAATCAAACCCACGACCTCCTGTGTACCCGGCGAGGTAGTCAATATCTCCTAGCCACCGTGATGATGATGATGAGAGACAGAGAAACACGCAAACTCCAAATATACAGCAGCAGGCGTCAGGGTCTGGATCAAACCCACGACCTCCTGTGCACCCGGCGAGGTCATCAACATCTCTCAGCCAAGGCTATGACGTCACCGCGCGTGGGTCGCCGCACCACGTGACCGCCGCCTCAGCCAATCAGCTGCGAGGACGTTGCCTATCAGCGCTAGATTATTAGAGCGGTGGTTGTGGTGGTGGTGGTGGTTGTGGTGGTGGTGTCAATGGAAGTCACGGCAAAGGAACGTGGAGTGGGCACCGATTGATCATCTTGTCAGCCTTGCAGAGCGCCTCGTTGCGGTGACCGGCGTCGCCCTGAAAGGCGAGTTGTGTGCCTTCTTCATCCGCCAACACCCCGTGTTTAGTTTCATTAACTTCTACAATGCAACGAATTAAACACGTAATTATTGCGATTTAAATGACGCCACGACGTTTGCGAACTACGTTGTTAAGTTGTAATCGACGCGGCGTGAGGGAGTTTTGGGTCATTGCGAGGGTTGCTGTTTCACTAATGTGCCGACTTCAGTGTTTATTGTTAATTTTAAAGTGACGCTGAGGTGATTATCGGTCATTTTTGTTGTTATTTGAGGTGAAGTCTGTGAAAGAAAGTATTTAACTTAGTCGATATTGCTGTTTGTGTGTGTGTGTGTGTTACTGTGATGCGTGGCCTCAAAGTGCACCTAGCCTGGCACCGTGGTCACCACTTAGTGGCGAATGGCGGCCGTTGTTGTTGTTGTTGTTTGTGTGGGATGGGGAGCGGTGGGGTAGTGGTTAGCGCTGCGCTACGAGTTCGATTCCCGCTCACGGCTACCCACACCCAGTGACGATTATCTGAACCGGTCCTGGGCCTCCCCTAGGTCGACTCGGCAGGCTCGAATGGGTACCTGGTGTAGCGGTGTGTAAGTAAACGTCGCCACTGGGGAGACAAAGGCGGTCGGGCGTGGTGCTGGCCACCCACCCACCCCCTGGTGTGCCGTGCCGGCCATTATAGGTGCTACTCGCTAACAGCACTTGCCCCTATAGTCTGATTGGCTGGGTGGGTGGCAAGGTGGGTGGATGAGTGGCTGGGTGGGAGAGTGGCTGGCTGGGTGGGAGAGTGGGTGGGTGAGTGGCTGGCTGGGTGGGTGGGAGAGTGGGTGAGTGGCTGGCTGGGTGGGAGAGTGGCTGGGTGGGTGGGTGGGAGAGTGGGTGAGTGGCTGGGTGGGTGGGAGAGTGGGTGAGTGGCTGGCTGGGTGGGAGAGTGGCTGGGTGGGTGGGTGGGAGAGTGGGTGAGTGGCTGGGAGAGTGGGTGAGTGGCTGGGTGGGTGGGAGAGTGGCTGGGTGGGTGGGTGAGTGGCTGGGTGGATGGGTAGGTAGGTAGGTGGGTGAGGGTCAGAGTGGGTGAGTGGCTGGGTGGGTGGGTGAGTGGCTGGCTGGGGTGAGTGGCTGGGTGGGTGGGTGAGTGGCTGGCTGGGTGAGTGGCTGGCTGGGTGGGTGGGTGAGTGGCTGAGTGGGTGGGTGGATGAGTGGGTGGATGGAAGAGTGGCTGGGTAGGTGGGTGGGAGAGTGGCTGGGTGGGTGGGAGAGTGGCTGGGTGGGTGGGAGAGTGGCTGAGAGGGTGAGTGGCTGGGTCGGTGGGAGAGTGGCTGGGTGGGTGGGTAGGTAGGTGGGTGGGTGAGTGGCTGAGTGGGTGGGTGGATGAGTGGGTGGATGGAAGAGTGGCTGGGTAGGTGGGTGGGAGAGTGGCTGGGTGGGTGGGAGAGTGGCTGGGTGGGTGGGAGAGTGGCTGGGTGGGTGAGTGGCTGGGTCGGTGGGAGAGTGGCTGGCTGGGTGAGTGGCTGGGTGGGTGGGTGAGTGGCTGGGTGGATGGGTAGGTAGGTAGGTGGGTGAGGGTCAGAGTGGGTGAGTGGCTGGGTGGGTGGGTGAGTGGCTGGCTGGGTGGGTGGGAGAGTGGGTGAGTGGCTGGCTGGGTGGGAGAGTGGCTGGCTGGGTGGGTGGGAGAGTGGGTGAGTGGCTGGCTGGGTGGGAGAGTGGCTGGCTGGGTGGGAGAGAGGCTGAGTGGGTGAGTGGCTGGGTCGGTGGGAGAGTGGCTGGGTGGGTGGGTGAGTGGCTGGCTGGGTGAGTGGCTGGGTGGGTGGGTGAGTGGCTGGCTGGGTGAGTGGCTGGCTGGGTGGGTAGGTAGGTGGGTGGGTGAGTGGCTGAGTGGGTGGATGGAAGAGTGGCTGGGTAGGTGGGTGGGAGAGTGGCTGGGTGGGTGGGAGAGTGGCTGGGTGGGTGGGAGAGTGGCTGAGTGGGTGAGTGGCTGGGTCGGTGGGAGAGTGGCTGGGTGGGTGAGTGGGTGGGTGGGTGGGTGAGTGGCTGGCTGGGTGGGTAGGTAGGTGGGTGGGTGAGTGGCTGAGTGGGTGGGTGGATGAGTGGGTGGATGGAAGAGTGGCTGGGTAGGTGGGTGGGAGAGTGGCTGGGTGGGTGGGAGAGTGGCTGGGTGGGTGGGAGAGTGGCTGAGTGGGTGAGTGGCTGGGTCGGTGGGAGAGTGGCTGGCTGGGTGAGTGGCTGGGTGGGTGGGGTGAGTGGCTGTGTGGATGGGTAGGTAGGTGGGTGGGTGAGTGTCTAAGTGGGTGAGTGGGTGGGTGGGTGAGTAGCTGGGTGGGTGGGGTGAGTGGCTGGGTGGGTGGGTGAGTAACTGGCTGGGTGGGTGGGTGAGTGGCTGGGTGGGTGGGTGGGTGAGTGGCTGGCTGGGTGGGTGAGTGGCTGGGTGGGTGGGTGAGTGGCTGGCTGGGTGGGTGGGTGAGTGGCTGGCTGGGTGGGTGGGTGGGTGAGTGGCTGGGTGGGTGGGTGGGTGAGTGGCTGGCTGGGTGGGTGAGTGGCTAGCTGGGTGGGTAGGTAGGTGGGTGGGTGAGTGGCTGAGTGGGTTGGTGGATGAGTGGGTGGATGGAAGAGTGGCTGGCTGGGTGAGTGGCTGAGTGGGTGGCTGGCTGTGTGGGTGGGTGAGTGGCTGGCTGTGTGGGTGGCTGGCTGTGTGGGCGGGAGGGTGGCTGGCTGTGTGGGTGGGTGGCTGGCTGTGTGGGTGGCTGGGTGGCTGGCTGTGTGGGTGGGTGGCTGGCTGGCTGGGTGGCTGGCTGTGTAGGTGGCTGGCTGGGTGGCTGGCTGGGTGGCTGGCTGGGTGGCTGGCTGTGTGGGTGGCTGGGTGAGTGGGTGGTTTGTGGCCAGCTCTATGGTAGTTGAACACAATATGAATGAGACGAAACCCTGGTATACAGAGTCCTCATCACGGGCTCGAAACCAGGCTCATGCCTGTGATTAAAGTGCGTAACTCAAGCATAGTGAGTTTATCTTCTCAGTCTGGTCCGTAACACGACAAAGTCTCTTCATCACTAGATCTGGCTGGATTCCTGCTCGAACGGTTTAACCGTCGCGAGGTTTATTGCAACGAGCCGCTCACCAAAGTATATAAAATGTGTGACACGCGTGGAGATAAAAGGCTCTTGACGCGACTTTAGAACCCGTCCTGCGATATCGTAGAGGCTCGTGAACTCGCATACACAGCCATGAATTTTCCTAGAGGCCCTTGTGTTTACCTCGCCGCTGATAGGTGTACTTAGAGACGAAGAGACTCGTAGTGAACCGTATAATCACACGGATAGCCATATCTCACACGCCGAGACCCATGGACTTTTTTAGAGACCCATATATTCATAGAGAACCATCTAATCACACAGAGACCCATGGATTAATAAGATACCCATAGACTCGTAGAGAACCATATAATCACACGGATAGCCATATCTCACACGCCGAGACCTATGGACTTATCAAGAGACCCATATATTCATAGAGAACCATCTAATCACACAGAGACCCATGGATTTAATAAGTGACCCATATCTCACACCGAGACCCATGGACTTAATACGGGACCCATAGATTCATCGGGAACCATCTAATCACACACAGAGACCCATGGACTTAATAAGAGACCCATATATTCATAGAGAACCATCTAATCAAACATAGACCCATGGATTTAATAAGAGACCCATAGACTCATAGGGAACCATCTAATCACACATACCCATACCTCACACACTGAGACCCATATATTCATAGAGAACCATCTAATCACACAGAGACCCATGGACTTAATAAGAGACCCATATATTCATAGAGAACCATCTAATCAAACATAGACCCATGGATTTAATAAGTGACCCATAGACTCATAGGGAACCATCTAATCACACACATACCCATACCTCACACACCGAGACCCATATATTCATAGAGAACTATCTAATCACACAGAGACCCATGGATTAAATAAGTGACCCATAGACTCATAGGGAACCATCTAATCACACAGAGACCCATACCTCACACCGAGACCCATGGACTTAATATGAGACCCATATATTCATAGAGAACCATTTAACAAAACATAGACCCATGGATTAGATAAGTGACCCATAGACTCATAGGGAACAATCTAATAACACACATACCCATACCTCACACACTGAGATCCATGGACTTAATATGAGACCCATATATTCATAGAGAAACATCTAATCGCACACAGAGATCCATGGATTAAATAAGTGACACATAGGCTCATCGGGAACCATCTAATCACACACATACCCATACCTCACACACCGAGACCCATATATTCATAGAGAACTATCTAATCACACAGAGACCCATGGATTAAATAAGTGACCCATAGACTCATAGGGAACCATATAATCATACAGAGACCCATACCTCACACACCGAGACTCATGGACTTAATATGAGACCCATATATTCATAGAGAAACATCTAATCAAACATAGACCCATGGATTTTAATAAGTGACCCATAGACTCACAGGGAACCATATCTCACACCGAGACCCATGGACTTAATACGAGACCCATAGATTCATAGAGAAACATCTAATCGCACACAGAGACCCATGGATTAAATAAGTGACCCATAGGCTCACATAGACCCATATCTCACACCGAGACCCATGGACTTAATACGAGACCCATAGGCTCATCGGGAACCATCTAATCGCACACAGAGACTCATGGACTTAATAAGATACCCATAGGCTCGTAGGGAACCATATTATCGCACACAGAGACCCATGGATTTAATAAGAAACCCGTAGACTCGGAGAACCATTTACTCACACAGAGACCCGTATTTCATGCGTAGAATTACATAGGCATGCGTGCATGAACAGTACCTGTATGTTGAACTTCTTTTGCACCGTACACAGCCAACCGTGTTATTCGGAGGTGCTCAGAATCATGATCAGAATGTTTATTTGGACTGCAGGAGGAATCCGATGAGTTATGA